TGAATACATTACCTGTGGCAATAGGTATTACTGAGTCAAATTTGTATGTAAATGATACAAATACAACAAGCATATCTATAAATGGTTTTAACATTGAACATTTGACCCACTGAGGCTAAAAAAGGGGGTGCTCTTCTATATCTAAATTTTAATTTAAACTACAGAGTTAGCAACGACCTAAAGATCTACTCATCCAAATGTCTTGAATCCATTTTTGTTGAAACTATAAAGCCTCACTTAAAAAATATAATAATTGGTTGCATTTATCAACATCTATCTATGAATCAAGACAATTTCACTAATAATTATTTAACTTCACTATCAGATAAGTTAAATATTGAAAAAAAAGTATTTTTCTTATGGGGGATTTTAATATGGATATACTAAAATATAATGAACCAAATCCTATATCTAACTACCTTGACTTGCTTATTTATTTTTCATTACATCCTGTTATAATTCTACCAACACGCATAATAGCTAAATTACAAACACTTTTTGATAACATTTTTATAAACTTCAATTCACCTGACCAAATCTCTGGCAATCAAACTATTTCAATATCTGATCAAATGGCTCAATTTATCTGCATTCCTAGAAAAACTAACCACTCTAAAAAAAGTATATCTTACAGACGATGCTTCAAGACCTTTAACAAAAATATATTTATCGAAGATGTTTCCAACATTAACTGAGATCTCTATATTAAAAAAGATGATGATGTAAATCAATCTATCAGTTTTCTTTTAAAGACATTTAAAAACCTATATGATCAGCATGCTCCATGCAAAAAACTAACTAAGCAGCAAATTAAACTTAAATCAAAACTATGGATCACCAATGGCATACTTAAATCTATTTCCATTAAATACAGACTATATAAAAAATGCACAAAATGTAAAGATATTAGTACTAAAAATAAACTGTTTTCTAAATTTAAATTTTATAGAAACAGAATTAGCAATCTACTGAAAATTAGTAAAAAATCCTATTACACAACCTATTTTAGTAAAAACTTAAACAATATTAAGAATACTTGGAAAGGGATAAAAGTAATCATTAATATAAAACCTTCCTCATATAGTTTAACTCTCTAACTTAAATTGAAAAAAAAATATTATCACAGATCAAACTACTGTATCGAATATGTTAAACAACTTTTTTGTTACTATCCAAAAAAAACCATACCTTCAACATCCAAATTTACTAACTATATCAACTCTCCAAATTCTAAATAGTTCTTTATTGATCCTGTCACAGAGAATAAAATCTCCAATCTTATTAAAACCACTCTTAGAACTGGAAAAAGCTTATTCCAGACATGATTTCTAAACCTCCTAGTATTATTATAAATAACTCTCAAAATGGTTTATTCCCAGATGCTTTCAAAGTTGCTTAAGTCATTCCGATATTTAACAAAGGTTCTACAATAGATACTACCGTCTACTATCTCTCTTCTTTTACAATATAACTACCGTCTACTATCTCTCTTCTTTTACAATAGATATGTATAACTTACCGTCTACTATCTCTCTTCTTTCAAACCTAAGCAAACTCTTTGAAAAAGCTATGCATAAGAGGCTCTATGCATTTTTGAATAAACTTAAATGCCTTTACAAACACCAGTATGGGTTTCGTACTAATCATTCCACAACTCACTTATTAAAATTACTGAGTCTATTAGAAAAGCTCTTGATGATAAAAACTTTGCATGTGGTGTTTTTGTAGATCTACAAAAAGCTTTTGATACAATAGATCATTCTATCCTACTCAAGAAATTAGAATATTATGGAATCAGAGGAATACCTCTTAAAATGGTTTACTTCCTATCTTCACAACAGATCTCAGTTTGTCTCAGTCAATGACTCAAAATCTACTCAAATAAATTGTTCCAACGGTGTCCCTCAAGTATTAGGACCACTACTTTTTTTTCTTTATATTAATGACCTTAATAACTCAATTAAATTTGCAACTCCTTATCACTTTGCTGATGATACTAACATGCTCATTATCAACAATTCTTTGAAAAAAAATTAAAAAAATACATTAATCATGATCTTGCCAATTTAGTTCAGTGGCTTCGCTCAAATAAGCTTTCTCTTAAATGTAGCAAAACTGAACTGGTCATATTCAAATCTAATAAAACAAAAATCAATAAAAATTTAAACTTTAGATTAAGTGGCCAGAAAATTATTCCTGTAAACTCTATCAAATATCTTGGAATTATAAATGATTCCAACCTATCGTTTGTGTCCCACTTGAAGACTTAGCCATAAAATTGAGCAGATCAAATGGAATGCTGGCAAATGTTCGCCAATATGTCAATCTGGAAACACTATTAAACATATATCATGCCAATTTTGGCTCACATATACAATATATGGGGACAATAGCAAGCAGTTTTAAGGATATCCTATCTTCAAAACAAAGCTTTAAAAATAATACATTTTCAGAATTACAAATTCAATCCTAATGTGCTTTATCTTACTTCTAAGATCCTTAAACTATGTGACCTTGTTCAATTCTTGAACTGCCAGTTTGTCTGGAATCACCAACACAAAAACCTACCTCTTACCTTCAACAATTTCTTCCCAAAAAATGCAAATAACCGTTACTATCTTCGAATAATTGATAATCTGAATCTTGCAGTCTTAAAACATCGTTCTGTTACTTATGAATATAAGTCCATAAAAAACCAAAGTATAAAATCTTGGAATAACCTTGCCTATGACCTAAAAGTTCTCCATTCAATCTATATTTTTAAGAGTAACCTATTCCATTATTTCCTAATCAAATACAGTTAATAAATCCAAAGATATGTTTTTGTGTTAAAGTGTTTGTCATAAGCCCATTTTTAGTTAAGATTAGTACATGTACTATTTGTAAACTTCCGCGAATGTGACAACTATTTCAGAATATATGAATTGATTGAATCAATAAAAAAATTACAATCAAAAAACTAAAAACTGTGTTTTCTATTTAATTCAAACCTTGCGTTAATTTTGGGACCAATAGCAGAAAAACCGCTATTTTTTTAAATATGAATTATTTTAGCAAATTTTAATTGATTTATTAAAATCGAAAATAGCTTCGACAACGTTTGATTAACTTTACAAAGATCTACACCATTATTTATTTCAAGGATATTAAAGACTAAATAAAGTTTATAAAAAAAAGTTCCTAACTGTCCATTAAATTTTTTTTTTTAATATCTCATTAACAATTATTGAAGATAGTCCTATCTTCAATAATTGCAACATTTGCTTCAAGTCACTTATTCATTTGCACAGCAGCTGCTTGAAACAAGTTGAATAATATGTAAATAAATATACATTTGTCAAAGAATATATGAGTTATGGTCTATATTCTAATTTTAATTCAATTATAAATAAATAAAATTCTATTAAAAAAATTGCGCTAAAATAAAATAAAACACCATTTAAAAATGGCCGAAAACTATTTCAACATTAAAACCTGTAACACACTATATGCCTTCTAAAATCAGTTGTATTACGATATTGGTTCGACGTTAGCGCATAGTTAAAAAATTGTCCAACGCTTCCTACGTTGTTCCGACGTTGGCCAACGTATGCGTGCTAGTTGGGGTATTTATGATATAAGAAAACTTTTAAAAGTCTTTTTGCTTAAACTGCTTTTTTTGAACTTTCGTATTTATGTCTATTCTATTTAAAAAAATCGGAAAAATTAAAAAACATTAACTATTTTCATATCCAAGCGTATAAAAAAATTATAATGATAGTTGTTAACTTTTTCTACCCTCCCCCCCCCCCCCTCTTTTGATTGTTCTGCTTGTTAATAAAAATCAGCCAAAACAGATATTACAAACAACCTAATTTGAAGATTCTGTCGAGAGTTTTTTGCAGAAAAGTTGCTACAAAAAAAATCTAACAGATATAGTTAACTTATTTGCATAGCCAGTTCATCTTTTTCTTTGTAAATAAATATAGTCTAAATGAAAAGGTTGGAGTTTTAATATAGCCTTATATTTCAAAATACACCGAGAGAAATATCACGTAATAATCATCTATTTTAGAGATTATTGTTAGGGATTGTCCATAAAGTATGTACGCTTTTATTTTGAAACTCCCCACCCTCTGCATTTTGCTATACCCTTTTTGAGTACCCTCCACCTCCATATAAGTACCTACACTTTTAATCTACCTACCCAACATTTTATGGTATTTTTTTTTAGTTTAGTGTCTTCTTACTTTTATAATTGACTCCCTGCCCATCTTATATAAGCTATTTGCATGACCCATCTCTCCCATCCGAGCTTATGGACTATCCTTTATGTGTTTACGTAATTAATTAGGTAAAACTTAAATACAGACTTTTTTCTTTCGAAATAAACGGGGTGAGAGTTCTAATAAGCTCTAAGTTTGCGTAAGAAGTGCGCATACTATTTTTTTTGCTCTAAGAGTAATTTTTATATTAATTATTTTTCTACATTGTACCAAAATATAGTGAAATAACGAATAAATATTGGTCGGTGTCGAAAAGATTTACCAAGAACTGTACTTTACGGACAGGTAGTCTTTAATAAAACTCTATTATTCATCAGCCTTAAATTCAAAGCTTGTAATTCTTTTAGCTTTTAAAAGATTTCAAGGTTCAAAAATTTAGCATAAGTTAAGTTTACTATCGCTGTTTACATTGTAAATAAACAAACAACAAACCATTTACGCTTATTTTAATATATTAGTTTCCTACACATAAAGGCTTGTTATACTAAATACTTCTTTGCCATATATATATTTTTTATATAGATTGTAGAACATTCGATATTCGAGCCAGGATTTTATAAAAAACGCCAAACCTCGCATTTGCTCACTTGAAAGTTATAACTAGTTGTTTACGGTTTTTTAAAAAAAAAAAGTTTTTAGTCATAAATTAAAGACGCGTATTTATAAAACGCTAATTTTGTTCACAAGCTTTTTATGTAGTTGTTTTGCTATATTTTTGTAACCAAAACTTTGTTCTTATTAAGATATAACCGTAATTTAGACATAGCTGGAATTTTAAAATCGATATTTGTCTATCTGAATAAACCTTAATTTTAAAATCAAGATTATATTAATAAAGATATAATATAGAACATGCGAAGATACCCCATAAATGCTTTGTCAATGAAAGTATTTCATATGATCAATTGCGTGCAAATAGAACAAAGTAAATGGTTATTTATTATATAATAATTGAATGCATTATTAAAATATTGAGAAAAAAAAAATCTATATAAGTTACATTTATATAGATATATATTTATTTTTTTCACTTTTTTTTAATTTGTAAATATAATGTAAAGATATGTGAAAGTATCATGCAGACTTAGGTCTGCATGATACTTTTACATATCTTTACATTAGTATTAGTAAATATGAGGAGTGAGTAGTAGACTTACAAAACACAAAAAAAGTTCAGTTTGTTAAAAAATTTGACGGTTTTTTTGAAAAACAATTTTCAAAATATCTTTACTTGTTTTATGAGCAGTTATGTTTTATAGATTTGAATTTTCAAAAAGTAAAATTTTCAAAATTTTCAAAAAGTAAAACGCCATTCAAAAAGTAAAACGCCATGAATTTTCAAAAAGTAAAACGCCATTAACTGTATTAATAGCTATTATTTTATTGCACCATTTGTAAAACTTTTGTAAGTGCAAATTGCAACATTTGTAAAACATGTGTAAAACATTTGTAAAACGTTTGTAAAACCTTTGTAAGTAACATTTATATACTATATATAAAATTTATTTGTATTTCTACTATTAGAATTTTTTAAATTGTTTTTTCTTTTACATTACTTACTTTAATTGCATAATACACAGGGTATTATGTAGTTAAAGTAAATAACAACAAAAATTTTGATTATTTTAAGATACTTGTGATATAACATTTTCACTATTTTTGAGAATACTATTTTTTCTTTTTAAAAAAATCAAAATTTTGTATATTTTTTAATGAAGTAACTCATTATAAGTTATAGTCTATATTAAGAGTTCTGAAGAGTTTGTTTTAACAAATGATTTTTACACAAATCTTGATCAACCAGGCTTTCTGTTTAAAAAAACTAGTTTTTCTATGTGTCAATACAAGTCATGTATTGACACATAGAAAAATTACAGAATATGTACAAATTTTATATGAAATACAACACTTGTTGTATATCATAAGGTTTTTGAAGCAATTGTAACATTTATGGTACAAGATGCATACTCTTTATTAGAATTTAGCTCGAATAATTTTAGCCTCTGTGATTTGAAAAACACATTAAATCACTTATAAACCTGTTTGGAATAAAAACTCAAAAGATAAGAAAAAATGTAAAAAATAAGTTTAAACCTCAATGGAAGATTGAGGTTTTCTGACAAGAAGTCGAATATATTGCATTTCACTAGTGAAATTGTCCAACCTAAGCTAAAAAAAAAACAAAAAAACAGTATTCACAATTACATAGTTCCTGTTAATGTACCACAACATGTCATTTTATTGTGAGAATAATTAGCTAAATCAAAAAATATTATAAAATGTACAATGAGAATCTGGAACCTAGTGGATTTCATAGAGTTTTTGTGACTGTTTTTAAAATTAAACATATGAGTTGTAAAAGGTTTAGAAAAATTATACACTGTGATTTATACACAAATTCTACCAGTGATTTATTTACATATAAACCACTGTAAGAATTTCTAGATTTTGAAATAATTTTTTTAAAGGAGTTCGCAAGAATAAAAAAAACTTAAATTTACAGTTAAACCAGAAGTTAACTACAAAATAAGTTTCATCTCAAGTTTAAATAACTATGACTTTATTCATTCAAAGTTCAAAAACAGTAAATATACAAATAATACAACAAATTTAATTGGTTGTATAAACATGTATATAATAAGCTAGCAAAACAAGTTTCTATTTAATTATTAAATGGAAACTTATTTTACTAGCTTGTTTAAATATACATGTTTTATTAAAAAATATTTTATTTACTTACCATTTTTTATAAAAAATAAAATTTATGAACAAGAGTTTGTTTAACTTTGATACAATCAACAATGCATCAGATGAAAATTTAAAAGTTGATAAGGAAATGCTGATACTCTCATACTTTAATAGACTACTGCTGGGGGTTTTAGTACATACATTGACTAACTAAATAGGTAGAACATGTAAGGAGTGCTGCTACATTAACTATGGTTTAGGCTGCTGGCAGCAATCTTTTTTCTGAAAAAGCTGTATGGAATTAACCAAAAAAGAATGCAAGTTTATAAAAAATTTTACTGCTTATAAAAAATATTTTATATTTTCTTACTGTAATAGAGAGTAAAAATTTTAAAACTCCATAATAAAAGTGTTTATTTAATTACAATTTCTTTTAGCAGAAAATTTAATTGCATATTATATTTTTTTATTTTACCCAAAATGAAACAAATTTATATAATTAATTATAATTAATATATAAAATATTTAATTCATTACATATTAAAAAAAATATTGCACAATAATTTAGTATGTAGTAATTTTGTATTATTCAGGTCAGATTATCCTGCTACTGGTAAAATGTAACCCAGTATAACCTGCTTCATGTCCTGTTGCCTTGTATGACAAGCTTTTTTAGGCAAAGGTTAGGAGACTGCATCTGGCTACTGTCTTGTAAAAGGCTTCCTAGGAAACGACTTAAGGAGTAAACAGATTCTATCTGTTGACCTGCCTTGCAACTCTTCTTTATCTATTAGACTGGTGCAGATGTATTTTTAATACATTAGTTCTGATTTAGGGAGTCGAATGCTGGATCTTCTTGACTCAATGTATAGGTTTTGCTTTTATGACTAGGCAACTCATTTTATTATCTCCTAATGAGGGTACGGCTCTAAAACTCAGTAATATTGTTCTGAGGTCAACTGGTAGTCAGGTTTTCGAACTCTGTAGTAGCACTCAGAGAGGCTGATTCCATCAACAGCTACAAAATATCAGAGTACTAGCAGTGCCATGTTGTTCATGGATGGTATCCCTGTTCTTACTTTTGGTGTGCATTGTCAAGGCCACATTTGGAGCCCTTTGTTATAACTTAGGGTTTATTAATAGTAATGAGGCAATTGCTTGGGCTATTAAATAGTGTACTGAGTACTATCTGTGCTATTAGTCAAGTTCTTTAACAAATTTGTAAATAACTAAAGTACCAAAAACTATAAAACTTCAAAAGCCATTGTCATCACCAAGTTCTCTAAATCTATCATTCACTAAAATTCATGGTCTTCGAAGTGATTTTTCTTCTGTTAAGTCTTATTTCTTGTAAAGTTCACCAGACCTACTTGCTCTTTGTGAGACTAATTTGAGTTCGGCTGTCTCATCTTGTGATCTTAGTGTTAATGGTTAACTTCCTTTAATTTGTTAAGACACCAATAGTCACATGCTTGGCATGTGACTATAGGGGTCTTTATGAATTACATATACAAGTATCTGCATATACAATACATAGACAAGTATCTCCTTTACGAAAGTCTGGTTGAACAACCCAAAAGGGTCTTAATTTGCAAAATATGCTATAAGACATTGACTTGAACTCAGTTGTTTGTTTGAACTCATTCCACAAGTTTAACATTGTATCATTTAATAGTCTTTTTTGTTTTTTCACTTTGTTTCTTGTTATTCTTTCTTTTTTCCCAGCAGTAAGCCTACTGGAACTATCTTTTTCTAAAAAGTTCCTAACTTCCATTTCAAGTTGTTGTTTTTTCAGTACATTTGAGGGCTGATTCAAGTTGTATGTAGAGAGCCTATATACTCAAAGAGCGGACATACATGTGATCATTTTTGATTGGTTGTTCGATTTTTATGTTTTTAGACGCCATCTTTTTGCCAAAAATACCAACTGCGATTAAAGTCTACTACTAAATTTGTATTAAATATTTGTAAAAGTATGCCTGGTTGTGCTGCAGTAGGCTGCCATAACAGGCCTGAGAAAGGATTTATTATGAAATGCTTCCCAAGAAATGAAAAACAACGGGCGATTTGGACTTCTAAAGTTAAACGACTTAACTGGATACCTACAAACACAAGCTTTTTATGTGAAGTAAGCATAAGAAAATACAGTTTTATGTAATTAATCCTAGAAATAAGTTATTTTAGAATCCATACAAATACATTATATTCGTTCAATTTTTTTATTAAGATAAACTTTGATGCTGATCAATGGGAAAAAACCAGAGAAACTCAAACATAATGCAATTCCTACTGTCTTTAAACATGTTAGAGCAAAACATAAGCGAAAAAATCCACTCGAGCGTTTTCCAATACCAAAAAAAAAGAAAATAAGTTTTATAGAAAGAGGAGAAGTTGTGGAAAATGTTTTAATTGAAGTAAATAACAATGAAGTATCTGAATCAGTTTGAACAACTGAGGTTGATAAAAGTTTACTTATACAAGATTTAAATGCGAAATTGGAGAGATTAGAAAGAAAAGTCATTAATCAAAAAAAAATTTAACATTTTAAAATCGAAAGCAAGAATAAATACTATTCAAAAATATAATCATATAAAGAGAGATAAATTTAGAGTTTTCAAAACAATATTTAAAGAAGATCAAATTTTATTAAGTAGAAAAAATATGAAATTCATTAAATGGTCAAATGATACTATAAATGAAGCGTTAGAACTCAAATTTACATGTGGTCAAAGTGGTTATGAAAATTTACTTCGTTTAAACTTACCATACCCATCATTACGTACCCTACGAGGAAGATTAGAAAATCTAAAATTTCAAAGTGGCATTCTAACAGAAGTCTTTGAGTTTATGAAAACTAAGGTGAATGCCATGAAAATCCATGAAAAAGAATGTGTTTTAATTCTTGATGAAATGTCAATAACTGAAAGTGTTGACTATGACACATCTACAAGCTCTTACTATGGAGTTGTTACATTACCTGAACATTATGGCCAAGCTAACCATGCTTTAGTTTTTATGCTTGGAGGAATATCTACAAGATGGAAACAAACTGTTGCATATTATTATACTGGAAGTTCTGTTAATGTTGGTGTTTTAAAAAACATTGTCCTATCTATAATAAAGTATACCAAAGAAATAGGATTAAAAGTTAATAGTGTTACTTCTGATATGGGTGCCATTAACCAGGCAATGTGGAAATCTTTTAATATTAGCTGTACTAAAAGTGGCAGTATTTCT